TGCATCCCCACTACTCATCTAAGCCCCCATAGTCACCAGCTTGACAACCAATTCCTTCTCTTTAGCTTCCGTCAAGGCTCCCTACTTGATCCTATAATGACTATATATCGCCCTCTTCCATCTTTTCCCCATGATCTCAAGGTCCATGACTAGGAGCCTATGAATGGTCAAGAGTTTCTTATTCGGGATGACCTTGTAATACGTGCAAAGACTTCTATTGGACTTCCTACATAGTAAATAATTAATCCGAGTCTCGGCCACTGAACTCCGGAAGGTGACCAAATGCTTCATCTTCTTCGGAAAACTCGAGTTTGCTATCACCAAATCAGATGCTCTAGCAAATTCCAACAGAGACGTTCCTCCTCCATTTCTATCTCCAAAATCAAAGCTACCATGCACATCATCATACCCCCCAGACATCGCTCTAATGTGGCCGTTGAAATCTCTTCCTATAAAAAGCTTCTCGGTATGCAAAATACCACGCACCATCTATCCAAATCCTCCCAGAAACGCCTCTTGACTTCCTCATCCAAGCCTTCTTGAGGTGCGTACGCACTGATTATGTTCAAAGTAAAACCTCTAAAAACTAGCTTAATTGTCATCAACTTGTCATTCACCCTCCTAACCTCCACCACTAGTTCAAGGAGGTCCTTATCAACAAAGATACCTACCTCGTTCCTGCACCCCGACCTCCCAGAATACCAAAGTTTGAAACTGCCCACATCCCGCGCCTTATCTCCTACCGACCTAGTCTCCTGTACACAAGCTATATTAATCTTCTCTTTCTCGAGAATCTTCGCTAACTCTACAGATTTTCCAGTCAAAGTTCCTATGTTCCAAGTCCCCACTCTCAGCCTAGTAGCTCCCTTAGCCCTCTTACCCTCTGTACCTCATCCCCCACGCTGACACCCTCGAGGACAAGACCTTACCCTACCATCATTCACCAAAGCCACTATAATCTAGGAGTCACTATGCAAGCACTATCCCTAAAACAAGCGACAAAAATAAAATGAATTATCGAAATATTATCTACCACTAAAGGTCACAAAACAGGTGAAAGAATAAATAAAGGAACTAATGGGAACTATAATCTACAACTAAAGAACAGAAAGACAGGTGAAGAAATAAAATGAAGGAACTAAAGGAACTATAATCTACAGAAAAGGATAGAAAAATAGGTGAAGAAATACAATACAAGAGCTAAAGGGGCTATAATCTAAATTTAAAGGTTACAAAGAAAATGTGCAGAACTAGAACATAACTACTAGGGGATATTTGAAATAATGATTCAAAATAAAGATGTAAACAAGTAGATAAAATAATAAAAAAATAGGCAAAGCTATCACTAATGCAATTAATTTTGACAATGCCAGGGAAAATACTAACTAAAGATTCAAGACCAAAATAATCAGGAAAAGGAGATACAATTACGATAAAATATCAAACTATTAAAATATCCAAACAAGAGAGGAACAGTAGTGTAACGACCCGACCGGTCGTTTAGAGAGTTATAGCCCAGTTTCCTTATGTTTCTGCTTCATTTGTGTTCTATAGCTGTATTATGTCTTACCGGGTCTGTTGGTTCGGGTTTGGAGTAGTTTTTGGAGTAAATTAAGACACTTAGTCTCTTAAGAAAAAGTTTAAGTTGAAAAAGTTGTCCAGATATTGACTTATGTGTAAACGATCTAGGATTTGAATTTTGATTGTTCGGTTAGCTCTGGTAGGTGAATTTGGACTTGGGAGCGCATTCAGAATGTGATTTGGAGGCCCGTGGTAAAATTAGTCTTGAATTGGCGAAAGTTAGAATTTTGGCGATTTTGGTCGTCAGTTGAAATTTTGATATCGGGGTCGAAATAGAATTTCGGAAGTTGAAATAGGTTTTGTGATGTCATTTTTGACTTGTGTGCAAATTTTGAAGTCATTCAGACATGATTAAGCGGGTTTCGACATCGTTTGTGAAATTCGAAAGTTTAGAAGTTCTTAGGCTTGAATCTGAGTGTAATTTGGTATTTTGATGTTGTTTTAGGTGATTCGAAGATTTGAATAAATTTGTAGGATTTTATGGGATATGTTGGTATGTTTGATTGAGGTTCCGAGGGTCTTGGGGTTATTTTGAGTGATTAACGGAACAAGTTTGGAAATTGGAGGAGTTGCTGAAGTTGGAACTAAGTTGTCATAACCGCACCTGCGGAGTGAGAGCCGCAGGTGCGAGCCCGCAGAAGTGAGTGGGGGCTCACATATGCAAGATTAGAGGAGCTGGGCAGAAGGCGCAGGTGTGATGACGTTCCCGTGCCTGCGATGGTCGTAGAAGCGGAAGAGAGCGCGTAGGTACGTGTGTTGGTCCACAAGTGCGATGTCAATTCCGCACATGCGATGATTGTAGATACGGTCTAGAGGCGCAGAAGCGGTCCAAGAATTTTAAGTGATTTTTCGCAGATGCAGAGGTTTTTGCGCTAAAGCAGCACCGCAGGTGCGCATATTGAGCCGCAGGTGCGGAAAGCTTCGGCAGAACCTATAAATAGAAGATTTCGCGAATTTTGCTCATTTCCACCATTTTGAACACAGACTTTGGAGATATTGGGAGGATTTTTTGGAGGGGATTCAAGGATATTCAATGAGGTGAATTGATTGAGCTATATTATCATTAGCTATGGCGTTTTCCCGTTGATTTCCAACCTAATTAGTAGGATTTTTTAAGTAAAATAAGGGGTTAGAGCTTGGGATTTTGGAGAGAGTAATTTGTGGATTTGAGGGACCAAATAATGTCGGACTTTGATGAAATTGGTATGGGTAGACTCGTGAGTGAATGAGATTTCTAGTTTTGTTACTTTTTTCGGATTTCGAGACGTGGGCCTGGGGGCTGGGTTTGAGCCAATTTCGAGATTTGAGTCCAATTTAGTAGTTTTTATTGTGGAATTAGTTCCATAGTATATATTGATTGTGTTGTATTACTTTTGGCTATATTCGGGACGTTTGGAGGCTGGTTCGAGAGGCAAAGGCATCGTCGAGTAGGATTTTGCTCCGATTGAGGTAAGTAACAGTTATAAATCTGGTCCTGAGGGTATGAAACCCCGAATTTTTATATCGTATTACTATTTAGAGGTAACACACATGCTAGGTGACAGACGTGTGGGTGTGCACTACATGAATTGTGACTTGGTCCATTTCGTGAGACTATGGAACCAATTAGCATACTTTTTAATACATGTTCCCTCTGTTTTCATAGAAATTGACTGTACTTTATGTTAGAAATCATGTTTAGGTCTTATGTTATCGTTGTTGAGACCTATGAGGTCGTGTACTTGCTAAAGTAGCTAATAATTGATGTTTTGTACTCAGTCATAGCTTTCATGCTTATTATACCTCAGTCTCTTACTGTTCATTATTTATACATGATATTATCTCTGTTTGCATTGTTGTATATGGTTTCTGAGAAAGAGCATGCGGGACTAGGTAGGTTGGTGACTGAGCGAGGCTGAGGGCCTAATTGTGAGGTTGTTTATATTGTAGCACGTGATTTGTCCGTGCAGCATGTGAGCTGTCCGTGCGGACCCTGATATGATAATATAGCACGTGAGTTATCTGTGCGGGTCTTATTTTGATTATTAGCACGTGAGTTGTCCGTGCAACAAGTTTCTTTGCGGATTATAGCGTTTGGACTGAAGGAGCCCCTCCGAAATGTGCACACCCCCAGTGAGCGCAGGTACCTATTGAATATGATTATTGAGGGCTGAGAGCCGAGTGATTGAGCTGTTGAGATGAGCTAAGTGACTGTTGCCTCAAAAGCTGTACTTGCTTTCAGTTAATTGTTGCACTTAGTTGCTATTTGTCCTTATTGTACAAATTTCTGGAAAACTTGATATCTGGTTTACTTGAGCGCGAACTGATGTGACTTAAACTAATGAATTTGAAAGCATGACTGTTTTTATTTGAAAGATATTAAGATAACTTTATTTGCATAGCTCGTCACTACTTCTCAGTTCCTTATTTATTTCTGTTACTTACTGAGTCGGAAGTACCTACCTTACTCCTTGCACCTTGTGTGCAGATCCATGTGAGACCGGTCGCAGGGATCGTTGAGCTCGTGCGCGGTTGAATCCTCGGAGATCTACGAGATAGCTGCCAGCGTCCACAACCCTGTTGGTGGACTATTGTAAACTCCGAATTTGGTATTTGGTTTTAGATGCTCATGACTTAGTGACACCCTGATATCGGACTATCTTTTCCACATTATATTATGAGTTTAACTCTTTTTATGAAATCTCTGCTATAAAATGGTTTTGAACTATCTTCTAATAAATTATCAATGTATTTTGGAAATGTCGGCTTGTCTAGTACCACGATAGGCGTTATTACGATGAGTTAGGTATTTGGGTCGTGAAAAGCATAACCTGAATTGCTTCCCTTGAAGTTAACGGAAATCTGGCCACAGTGCTAGATTGCAACGAGTTGGAGCAATACTCAATGTATTCCTTGTTCAGATAGGAAGAAGAAACTTCGAATATTTTTGTGATTTAGACCAACCATGAAATCTTTTCCCAATGTGATTGAAAAAATTTCTGAGACGAAATTGAAACTGATTGCTATGAATCAGAGCAACCCCACGTCTTCGATTCTGAGCGAGTTGCAGTGCTTTGTTGCATTGTACCTTTTGTACCGGTAGCAGCGACAACGGAAAAGTATTTGTCGTAATTAGACCAAAGACGTTGGTACGATTTGGGGATACTTGCAACTTTACCTCTTACAATGGAACAACTAGATTTCCCCGTAGAAAGGAATGGACGGCGATTGGTTCGCCAGGGAAAGAGACGGGAAGAAGCAAGATCACGTCTTTCGCCGTCAAAGAAAAGCCGAATTAGTGACTGTATTTCTGGTTCAAAATTATCACAATTTCCAAGATCAAGAAGCTTAATTATGATTTAGCGTTTGAGATATTTCACAATTCGCCGGAAAACCCTCACATTGATATATTTGAATTGCCTTTTATTAATATAAATATCTTTTCATAATGGTTCATTTATTTATTTAGTTCTTCAAATGTCGACGCCATTTGCTAAAAATCTTGCGTACATCACGGAAGACAACAATAAACCTTAGTGAAGCAGCAAGTACAAATTATGCACCTGCAAATTGCAGATCTTATGAAATAACAGAGACCTTAAGAAGCCAGATAAGCAACTCATAAATTATATAAAATAACGGTTTTTCGGTGGCGGTAAATGATGGTGGATGTCTTGGGATCCATGACTTGGTGTATAGTCAATAATCACTATTGAATCATCTTGATCATTGTTTGTATATTTCTCCATTTCATTAACCTTAGCTGGAGTACATGCATAAGCTTGTATTGATTCAATTTCTCTTCTTCCAATTCCTCCTGCTAATAAGTATAACAAATGAATATATATAAAAAAATAGGCATCAGTTTGATATATTTGTGAGATGAAATATATATATAAAACAATGAAAGAGAGGGGGCCGGAATAAAATTACCTTGTGTCACTGTTATAATGAAGCACACCAAAAAGATGGTCTTCAAAAGAAGAAGATTTGTAGTTGCAACAGCCTCAACCATGACTACTATACTACACTATCAAAATATTTCTGATGAAAGATATGGTATTATATATTTGCACTTTATCCAGCCTTTAAATGCTAAAAACTCATACGCATTCAAATTTTGATTAAATTCTTAGATCAGCTGGTCAAGGCTGAGAAGATTAGGTATCACTTTTATTTCTTTCCAACTAAGCAATCACCTTACCTCAAAATCAACAGTAGGAGTTAAAATCTTACATTAAAAAGCATGCATGCAATTAATAAGAAGTAAAAATGGTTGTATTGCTTTAGAGTTCGTTCACAACATACTCTTATTACACAATGAAATAGCAAATTAAGGGCCCCTATTATTAAAGAGGAGGATGGGGAGTCGCTGGCGATGTATGAGCTGGTGTATAGTCAATCACTATTGAATCAGCTTGAATTTCTGTTTCTTTTTCCATTCATAAACCTTCGCTGGACTTGCATAAGCTTGTTTTGATTCCATTTCTCTTCTTCCAATGCCTGCTGCTAAGTACAACAACAATAGGAAAAAAAAAGTTAATCACTATTATCCTGAAAAGGTGGATTCAGAATTCAATTCGATGGAACTATATATCCTTTTAGAGTTCTTGGTACTAAATTTATTGTACATAAGATATCATGGGTTTAATATATAATATTATTTAAATTTACACTGAGTTCAAGTTAACAAATATAGATCCAGGATTTAACTTTGATGAATTTAACCATTAAAGTTCGTAGCGCGGATCTTATTGCACATCTGATATTATGGCTTAAAATTGAAATATACTAATATTTGTTACTAAAATTTAATGATTATATATATATATATATATATATAGCTAGTAAGATGAAAAATAATTATGTCAAATGAAAGAGGGTGCATTACCTTCTGTCACTGTTAATATGGAACAAACCAAAAAGATGGTCTTGAGAAGAAGAAAATTGTTTGTTGCAACAGCCTTCATCTTCAAGACTACTGCTTCAAAAAAATTTTGATTAGAGATGTGATATTATTTGCACTTTCTTCAGCCTTTAAATACTGAATAATCATGGGCATTCACATATGCAGATGAACAAGTTTTTGAATATAATCTGGTATTGGTAAAAGGCTGATAAGATTAGAATCTTTTTTATTTCTTAGCCATATACAAATCTTAGTAAGCTATTAAATTCAATAGCATGTTTGGTCTTTCCAACTAAGAAAGATATAAATTTATTAAAATTTTACTTATAAATTTATAAATCTTTAAGCCTTTAACAATTCCAAAGATATACATGTATAACGAACTAATTGCTGATCAAGCCTAAGTTCGTCCCTCTACGAACTTATACTAAATAAATCAAACGATTGATTGAATTTGAATCAAGAATCTAGTCAGAGTTATATCATGCACCCATGATTGTAAGTTGGAACGATGTTGGTCTCTTAATTGAAACAATATATACAAGGGTGTTTAACGGATGGGCCGGGCTAGGTTGGGTAGGGATTTTTTGTACCCGTACAGGTTATGATCCGGGCCGGTTACGAGTTGGGGCTTACCGGATTTAATGGGTTCGGGTTCATCCGGGTAAAAATTGAACCGTAGGGATAACGGGTTGAGGGGGCCGGGCCGGGCCGGGTTTAGTGTATTTTTTAATTTTTTCTGTATTTTGTATAACTATTGTAAGTTATATTCATACAAAGTTAAAATATAAAGAATACAAGGAAGATGGGAAAACATTGCACTTATAAATTGCAAGTGCTACATTTATTTCAAAATTACAAAATTGAAGTTTGCATTTAAACAGTAAATTAACAAAAAAATAACAAAACTAAATTTTCATGCATAATAAATTAATAATACTTTAAATTAATCTAACAAACTAAAATATTAATCATAAATACGTCTAATAATTTTAAAATAACACAAATGGTCTCAACAAGTGTCTAGAGAAAATACAACTGTTTTCGATACAGAAGAAACAGTAAAGTGAATGTATGGAAGGGGATGTCAGGGCCTGCGGATGCCAATAGGTCTACCTTGGGTCTCCGATCAGATGAAGCCAACAGCTAAACTCGGGATCAGCTCGGACTGGTGCCGAAATTTGCACGGAAAGTGCAGAGTGCAGTATCAGTACAACCAACCCCAGGTACTGGTAAGTACCGAGCCTAACCTCGGCGAAGTAGTTACGAGGCTAGGACAAGAAACATACATCAACCTGTGCAGTTAAACAATAAACGAGCATAATAACAAATAATAAAAACTAAACAGATAACTACGTGATGGGGAAACATGCTGAGGGGAGTACAAGATCATGAAAATGGAAACAGTAAAGAGACATAGCAAACAACGTGCTTTGCACAAATGGAAATATTAAACATAGGAAAAACAAGTGCACGACATCACCCTCCATGCTTTTACTCTCACCCTCACCATAATCAATGAAAGAAATGAATATATAATGACACGAAATCACCCGTCGTGCTTTAAACTCTTCCTTACATAATAATGAATATGAAATGGCACGGCATCACCCTTCGTGATTTACACTCTTTCTCACATGACGATGAATATAAAATAGTACGGCATCACTCTTCGTGCTTTACACTCTTCCTCACCCAAAACAAAGAACAATAACAACAGGGAGATAGAATTATCAATAACAAGTCTCACTTCAACATTTAGTTCCACAACATCAATCTCAACTTTGAGTCAATCTCAATCAATATCAAATTCTGTAAAACATGATAAGAGTTGCTCAACATAATGAATAACTAGTCTAAGGATGAACAATATGAATAAATAATATGACGATTACAAGAATAAGACTCATTCGCATGTTATGACTCGACAACAACGCATAGGTACTCGTCACCTCATCTATACGTTGTACTCAACAACCAAACACGTAGCAAATAGGCAACAATACCTAATCCCTCAAGCCAAGGTTAGACACAACACTTATCTCGCTCCGCGCGCCACTCAATGCTCCATTACCGTTTTACCTCTAGTATTCACCTTTGAACCACTCGTATCGAGCCACAATTAACTCAATATCATCAATTATTGCTAAAAGAATAAACTACAACACATAAATTTAGATTTCTCAAACTTCCCTCCCCTACCCCTCCCCCCTCCAAAAATTCAAAAATCGACCCCGGACCCGCTTGGTAAAAACTCGAGGTTCGGACCAAAACCTATTCACCCATTTACCTCCGAGCCCAAATATGTAATTAGTTCCGGAATCCGATCCCAAATCAAGGTCTAAATCCCTAATTTGCAAAAAACCCCAATTCTTTCAAAAATCCATAATTTCTACCATGAAAGAGCAAGGTTTAGGACTAGGAATCTAATGGGTGATGATGAAAATTGAAGGAAATGAGTTAAAGAGTACAAACCTATGATTTGGTGTTGAATTCCCCTTTCAAAAATCGCCCTAGGTCGAGTTCTAATGAAAGAGATATGAAATTTTTAAGAAATTCCCGTTCTGGTCTATTATTAATTCGCTGGGCAGGCTTTCTTTGCGTTCGCGAAGGGCCTGCAGCGATCGCAAAGCAACGGCTCTACTAGCCTACGTGTTCACGATACTCTTCGCACTCGCGAAGGCTTAATCCCACCATGTGCCGCATTCGCGATGAATATATATGGTCGGTTCCCTCCCCCAAGTCCCATTTCTTCGCGTTTGTGATAGACAAGTTACATTCGCGAAGGATAATGTCCCCGTTGCTCCACGTTCGCGACCCAGTCTATGCGTTCGCGTAGAGAAAAGTTTTCTTCCAACTTAGGTCTCCTTCGCGATCGCGAGAGTGACTATGCGATCGCGAAGAACAACATATCTGACACCAGGTTCTGCAATTTACACCAGATTTTCCAAGTCTAAAACATTCCGCAGCCTATCTGAAATTCACCCGAGCCCTCGGGCTTCCAAACCAAACATGCATACAAGTCTAAAAACATCATACAGACTTGCTTGCGCGATCAAATCACCAAAATAACACCTATAACTACGAATTTAGCACCAAATTGAATGAAATTTTCAAGAAATTTTTAAAACCTCTATTTTTACAACCGAAAGCCGAATCACGTCAAACCAATTCTGTTTTTCGCCAAATTTTACCGACAAGTCTTAAATATCATAATGAACCTGTAGCGGGCTCCGAAACTAAAATACGGACACGATACTAACAAGATCAAACATTAAACAAATTCTTAAAACCATTAGATTTTCAGTGTTTCAATTTTCATCAAAATTTCATTTCTCGAGCTAGGGACTTCGGAATTTGATTTCGGGTATATGCCGAGTTTCCATATTTCGAGACGGACCCACTGAAACTGTCAAATCACGAGTCCGAGTTCGATTACTCAAAATGTTGATCAAAGTTAACTAAATCAACTTTTAAAGGCAAAAATTATTATTTTCATCAACTTTCAACATAAAGCTTTTCAGAATCACGCCCGGACAACGCACACAAATAGAGGAGGGATAAAATTAGGTTTTAAGACCTCGGAATGTAGAATTTAGTTTTAAATCATAAGATGACCTTTTGGGTCATCACACCCTTACTCCCCCCTCCCCGGACTCTATTTTCTACAAGAATTTAATTGTTCTTTTCAAAATTTACACAAATCCAAAGGTACTAATGTGTTGCTTTACTTTTTCACACAAGAACAACATTGAAATTTGAGCCGACAACAAAAAAGAAAATACTCTTTTTTTGTTGAAAAAGAAAGTATCATTTCTACAACATATAATAAAATTACTCATTTTGGTGAATGAAAAAAATACTTTTTCTACATCGTCAAAAGAAAATATATACTTTTTCTACATCGTGAAAAGAAAATATTTTTTCTACATCATGAAAAGAAAGATTTTGTTTTATTGAAATGAAAGAAAATACTTTTTCCACATCATGAAAAGAAAGTACTCGTTTTTTTTTAAATGAAAGAAAACTTTTTCTATATCATAAAAAGAAAGTACTGAAATACTTTTCCTACATCAAGAAAAGAAAATAATTTTCTACATTTTGAAAATAAAGTACTCATTTTGTTGAAATAAATACTTTTCCTACATCAGGAAAAGAAAATACTTAGTTTATTGAAATTAAAGAAATTACTTTTTGTACATGAAAAAAGTACTCACTTTGTTGAAATGAAAGAAATATTCTTTCTACATCAGGAAAAGAATATACTTAATTTGTTGAAACGAAAGAAAATACTTTTTCTATATCATGAAAAGAATATACTCATTTTGTTGAAATAAAAAAAAAGNATTTTTCCTTATCTTGATAGGGAAAACATTTTCCTCCAAATCGATGAAAATGAATTCATGAGAAAAGTGTTTTCCAAAATATTTCAGCCAATCAAATATGAAAAAATTAAAAAGTATTTTCCGGAAAATATTTCCATTCATACCAAACACACCCTTAATTGATGTAAAATATACCACAGTCACGTTTTCCTCACTATTCTTTCTAACAGAAACATAACACGAAGTCAATAAAGGACAGCTCTAAATGGAACCTGTAAGCATGTAAATCAGGCGAGCTTTAACTGTAGGCAGATTAACTGAATTTAATAATTAAATTCAAGATTTACCTAGAAAGTAGGATTGATTATAACCTAACTGTGGGCAGATTAATTAAATTCAATAATTAAATGCACGGTGTATGTAGGTAAATCCCACTTTTAAGATTAATTGAATTTAATAATTAAACATAAAATTAATATGATACCTTTATAAGGATATGTATGCGGCGAAATCAGAGGACTCAATTTCTCGCTATTGAGCCACTTCGGGAGAATGCCTAGAGACCCCGAAGACGTGAAGCCATGACCGAGTTCCTTTCCTCGGGGCTCGACTCAAAAAAGACGAAGGACGAGGCCAGAACAGAAGGGGAGGTTCCCTAGGCACATGGCTAAGTCTGACAGGGCCGGCCTACCTAGAGCCTACGCCGAAGCATCGCGTCTAACCATCACATCTCAGTACTTTACACTTAATACCCAT